AAAAAATTATGCTCTTTACAGTTGTACAGTGGACGTCGCATGAAAGTAAATAATGATAGATAAGAAAATCAAAACATGCACTAGGGTGGGAGCTGTCTTTACTAAAAAATCTTGTCTGTCTATGTTCCCATGTCAAGTATAAAGTAAAAAAGTACGAACTTTATTACTGTGTCGAATCATCAAGCGTACTGATATACATTATAACTGTGGACACCTAACTATGTTGGTTATAAAGACTAATACAGCATTATAGAAAGTTTTTGCCAGTCCTGCATTTTTCTTAGCAAATGTGTTACATTGTAGCTTACTTAAAGTACGGCTTTAATTAAAAAAAAAATCGAAGCTTAATTGCAGACTTTTTGATCCAAAGTCATACGCATACGTTGTATCTGACATGTCTTATGCAAGCAAGAGATCATCAAGGTAAGAGAGTGAATTTCCCATATAGGTCCTCTAACTAAGGTAATCCCTCTTAAGTTACTTCTAGACATGGTACCCAGTTCTTCCGAGGATGCTACTCGCGCGATACGTGGACACCCGAAGCGACTTTCTCGAAACTACCAAAGACGAAATGGCGGGAACCCATTTTTTTATGTTTTGATTTCCTTTCATGGCGGAGATGTTTTCTACGCTCTCAACAGGCTTTTTTCTGTTCGGCTGGGCTTTCGTTTGTTTTGTGCTCGTTTGGCTTTTCATTATTTTGCCTTTTATTCGGTTTTAGGGAGTTTAATTATAAACGGCATAATACAATGGCTGTGTAAGCGTGCGTTATAATTCTTTGTTCGCTTCTTTGTCGTTGTTTACAAAAGCTCACAAAACAAGAACTTGAAATATCCACATTCTGCATATTCGAGAGAACATGAACTATACGACGGCCAATGTTTAAAATTTCTTTTTCGAATTTTGACGCTGTCTTACATATTCTGTTTGGGATATTTCTGACAGCATAGACAAACTGAATGAATCTAAATTCTCACGAGATTCGTAGGTTGCATATTAAGTCGTTTTTTAATCGATGTTGCCTTTAGCGTTGTTACCCGTTGCTGCTTAAACTGCTTTTGCTACTTGGGGAGCGAGCGTCTTCCTGCACTTTCGACCATCTGTTTATTCGGTTGCTACTAAAAGCTTGTGTTTGGGCGTTTGTTTGCTTTGCACTCGTTTGTCTACTCATTTCTCTGCCGTTCTTTCAGTTGTTATTGTTTGTGTAGGGGACATCCGTCTCTTATTTAAACTCCTGACCAGTTAAAGTTTCGAAATGTATTAAAACATATCGAGAGCCGAAGCTTCTTTGCGTGTAATCAAAATATCAAAGACATCCCCACAGCGTTGGACGTTTTCCTTTGCTTTGAAACGAAACGAAACGAAACGAAACGAAACATAATCAGATCTTCCACGAAAACATCCACGCAACGCGCGAGTAATATCTGCGGAAGAACTGAGTACAATGTCTAAAAATAACTTAAGAGGGATTACCTTAGTTAGAGGACCTATATGGGGGATTCACTCTTTACTTTGATAATCTTTTAATGCAAGTTAGAATGTCTTGCACCCAAGGCACTCTTCATGTATGTATAAAGCAGGTATCCACTGAGGAACACGTTTTTCTCAATTCTTTATTTAAGAGAAATAAATAATTGTGACATTGATTAAAAACTCTTCAGATCAAATAAGTTAAGTTCATGTAATGCTTCTCTATTGAATTGCGTGAAACCCATTCTGACAATAAATAAATAGCTGTTCGTATATTCATAAATTTTCAGTGCTATCTTTGATTGTATTCATTATACACATTAGAACAATTTGTTCATAGTCAAGAAGTTAAAAAAGTGTAGGACATAATTGTATACAGCCTAATATATACGCTAACTGGTCGAGTAATAAGTCAACTCTTCAATCAGACATTTCTCCACCTTAGCTCACCCTTTCAAACACGCTACCAGTGCTTCTCGTTGTACCCCTCGGAGGAATCACTGGGCACAAGTCCGCCTTTTACAACCTGTTTCCCTCGCTATTCATTCAATAACGTTTGACGAATAACTTATAAATGATTTCTTTTCAGTCGATTAATAATTTTTGTTGTGAATCGCTTTCGGTTAGAAACAATACGGGGATTTATAATTCAAATTCTGCCATGTTTCCCCAAGAAGGACCAGCCTTCATTTTAACAGGTGTAACAACGGAGAGTTTCATGGCGTCCTCCATTTCAGTTTTAACAAGCTGCGCCACGCTTCTTAATTCGTTCACCGAAACCTCAAATATAAGCTCATCATGAAGCTGCAAAACAAAATACCCTCCAACAGGTGGTGGGACATTGCACTTTGAAGGTCTCCCCCGGATTTTGCTTCTACTAGACTGCAAATCCGGGTGGGAATGTCTATGCGTCATAACACACGATGGGAACTCCTTAGTTAACCTCTTGTCAATGTTAACCATGGCTGTCTTCACCAAATCTGCCGCTGACCCTTGCACCGTGGTGTTAACAGCTTGTCTGGCTGCCTGACTGTGCGCATGCGTGTTTGGTGAGTTAATCCCCGGAAGGAATCTTTTTCTTCCGGTAACTGTCTTCACAAAGCCTTGTTTCTTGCACTGCTCGACTGTCTCTTTCAAATACTTCTTCACCCCAACAAAGCACGACGTGAACTTGTCAATAAACAAGGCGGCTTCCTCTTCAGCCAATCCAAGCTGCTCTCCAAGCGCTTTGGCGCCAATACCATATATGATCCCATAACATACCTGTTTAGCGTGTTGTCGCTGGTTATCTTTAATGGTCTCCGCGGGCGCTCGATAAAGTTCGCCTGCGACCATTCTGAACACGTCACCTCCCCCGTTGAGAATCTTGCGCAGACGTGCATCGTTGGCGAGGTGGGCGATGAGCCTCAGTTCTAGCTGAGAATAGTCAGCGGCAAGCAGCACGCCATTCTTAAACGGGACAAAAGCGTTCCGCATACTCACAGAAAAGTTTGGAGCCACTCCTGTTGAATTCATCCCAGGCTTAACATTCATCATGCTCTGCCGCCTTCTTCTGCCTCGCTTTGAGGAAGACTTCTCGTCCCAGACTCCAGGAGGGGGACTCTCGGCGATAGTTGTTGGTAATGTGATATCAAAATCTTTGGGGACGTTTTGCAAGTTCGGCTCCGCGAATGATACTCGTCCAGTCGCTGTGTGCGTCTGGCTCATGGAGTGAATCCGTGGCATGTTGAGTCTCGGATTGAAACACTTTTCCTTCTGTAATGGAAACACCACCTTAGTTAGGGCCGAGTTGATCCGCCGCCACTCTATGATCAGCCCAGGAAGCGGATGCAGCGGCTTGAGCCTTTCAAGCACGTCTTTGTTGGTGCTGAGATGCTTCGTACCACGTGACGTTCCACGCCGAGTCACGCCTAGCGTCTTGCGCTTAGTAGCCAGGCCATCTTCCGAGTTGCCGTCGTGTGGCAGTTTGAGCTCTACAAAAAGTACCTACAAGGGAGGAGTGAGGGGAAGATTTTAATGAAATGAACGTAAGTCGCCACTTAAGAATTTATCAACCCTTCGTCAGAGCAAGTTTCATGAGTTAGAATTTACGAACGACAATAGGTGGAAATGGCCAATCAACTGCAAGCATGAAAAAATTAATCGGTTCATTGTAAGCACCTAAACAAATGCTTGTTGTAAAACATGTTTGTGTTACAGACACAGAAAGCTTCCAAAACTGATCGCACGGCCCGTATAACTTCCAGGCCGTTTTTAATCAAACGAAGAAATAAATGAGAACTAAGGTTTATTCACACCTGAGCCACATCTTCTCGACTGGTCAGTGAAAAACTGTGATTGGCCAGTCGGTATGCTTCCTCTTCCAGCCTGCGTAGCTTGGCCTGTAGGATATTCTTTAGATGTTCACTCTCTGTGTCTGAGAACCCTAAGCCATTTAACTCCATGCGACCCAAGCACAGCACAGATGGCATCTCCACCTACAACGGTTACAACAGGCGAAACCTATGATGCTCAACGTAACTTAAAACATTTTACGAAGCGCACGCCTCCTTCTCTCCCCTCCCGCCACTCATCCCACCCACACATGTCCTATCTTCAAGCGGCCAAAAGCCAGGAGTTTCGACGTCTGGTTGGTTCATTACATTATTTCGCTTAGTGCAATTGTCTTGAACGAGCGAGTGAACAGGATTGGACATAAACATTTGCCCTTGCCACTGGAGAGTAAGTTGTATTTAATAATGGAAAGCTTAAAATAAAACAAAACACACACAATTTTCTTTTAAAAACTCACAAAACAAACAAATAACCTCGGAATTAACGAAAATTCCTCACCGACCCGGAGAGTAAATTTTAAGGCGAGTCTGTGAACAAAGGTTTGACATGACAGGCGCTAGTGAATTTTAAGGTGCATGTATATTGGTAAAACCAACCTCATACAATAATTTTCTGACCTTAAGACTCTACACCATATTCAAAGTTCCAAAAAAACCTTTGTAACACGTAGTTTAAGTCTGGTTACAATCAGTTTGAGAGTTGATGTTTAGAGAAAGGGCAATGGTGCCAAATGCTAGTGCCAAAACCAGCAACCACTCTAACGGTTAAACTTCAAAAAGTTATATACAGGCTGAAAATAGCAAGAGAACAAGAAACCTTAGTAAACGCCAACATCAGATCCTCCGCCTCTAGTAAAGGACTCAGCTTTTTCATCAAAGAAAGAACTAAGACAGACTCGACACAGGCCCTCACTCGACCGCTCTGCTGACATTGGTATGCTAGAGCCAGACCTCCTGTACCCAGTCCACCACCGCTACCTGGGGGCAAGAGAGTACCATTATTAGCTGTTGTAGGTGTCTGGGCAAATGTCCCTTTTCATATTCTCACGTTTAAAAATAATTAAAGCAAAATGCATCGAGTAGAAGTGAACAACCCGTATCCTGAAAATTCCAAACGTAATGCTCAACTATTGCTGAACATGCCAATGACTTGTTTACTTGAAAGAAGAGTTCAAAACAAAGTGGCGGAAGGAGCGAGGTAGTCCTTTCTCGACGAAGGTCTCTGTTCACGTTTAACAAAACAGTGGGCCCTACACCTAATCACATGAGAACTAAATAGAGACGGTCATTGGCCTTGTAGCTACTTAGTAAAACCTCCATTCCATTTGGCGTTGTGATCTTCTATTCTGGCACGAAAAAAAATAAAATATTACTGTTGTTTGGACCTCAGCCTCAGCTGAGAGCCTCGCCATGGCGACGATGCCAAAGAGGACTGTTACTTTGCTACTACAGACAAAAACTTGTTCAAACGAACCTTCCAATAGAGGTGCCTCCTCAGGTAAGTGCGTTCCTACAAGCTGATGAAGGTTCTTTTCTTTTGCTCCTGGATCCAAGAGCCAACTAGCTACCTTGGGGTCCTCCGCAGGTCCACTGAGAGAGATCCCGGTAGATCTCGCAAAGGTCTGAAAGAAAAAGAAACCCTCAAAAAATAGATAACGAGGAAGATTGCGTGACGAGCCCAAAGAACGTCTGGGTAGGAGGCTAAACCTGGGGCTACGTTTGACGAAGTTCAAGATTAAAGCGTGTATTTGAAATCAAAGGAAATTGCGTCTCCTTACCTTGAAGTGTTCTTTGACATCAAAACAAACCATGAGTCGGCCTCGTTCTGTCAAGGACTGAATAACACTCTTCAGTGCATTTACACGACGAGCAAGGGTCAGATTACTATCAACCGCTGACTCAGCCTGACTGTCGTCTGGTTGACGGGGCGACGGCTGAGCATTCTCTTTGAGAGAAACGTAATAAGCGTCGTTATAGCTCCAGCTCACCGCAACTCCGACCACCATTAGATCCTCTCCTTCCACCTTCAAGCCCCTCGGGGTCCCTTCTGATGTTGGCGCATTACTGAATCGTCCTCCTATTCTGGGGACGTCATCAAGGAAGCGCTCACAAGCTACAGCTAACGAAAAGCGGGTTTGACTGCGCCATTCTTTAAGGAACATTGCAAAAACTTGCTCATGTCCTGCAACGTCGATGATTACAAGTCCTTCATCCGGGGCATTGGAATACGGTGACCTTCGAGGAGACGAGCGTTTTCTTGTCGACAAGGGAGTGGCTGACGTTTTTGTCTTAAAGTCACCCTGGGACGGCCGTTTCTCTCTCGGGGGTGTGGAAGGGACAATGTCTGAATCTGGCATTTCATTTTCTTTAATTTCATCACCATGTGTCGGTGAACTGCGTGGTATTTTCTTGTTGGGCGATTTCTCATCTTTGTGGCTGGGTAAATAAGTGGATTTCAAGCTCTTGATTTTAATAAAATCAGATTCACTGTGACGTACCACAGGCGCGCGAGGTAATGCTTCGGTCTCTGTTTCTTTTTGCAGGCTTTTGGCATCAGCTTCTTTCTCCATTAACTCAACAACGGCCAACATGGACAGATCAGAGTCGAGGCAACCATCGCTGGACGAAAGACGAAGCGAAAATGAATTCGCAGTGCTTACGGAGGCTAAGTCATCTGCCACGGAGCATTTCCGCGACTGAAGAACAGGAGAAGCGAATGACGACAGAATTTCCAAGCTGTGGTTCGTATGAAATTCATCTGTGGCTGGAGGGCGTGGATGAGTGTCATATTCACCGATTATCTCCTGACTTTCAAGCGTAACCAAACTACCAGGTTGTACTGTGTTTACTTTATCGGGCAGAATTTCGCAGTCCTTGCCAGGTGGCTCATTTGTCTCGGCCACGGCACGCGAGTGCGTCGTTAACTTATCGGCTTTCTCTTCAGCTATAACGTCACACTTCATAAGACAGGTGTCACTCAAGCTACATGCAGCAAGTGCCTGAGAATCGAGCAGGACATTGCCCTCACCATGAGTGGAATTATCGGTTTTTTCTTTCACGGCAGGTTCTTCACCTTCAAACGGCTCAGAGTACAACTCCAGAGAAACCGACTGAGTTTCGTTGCAAAATTTAGAATCAGCTGAGACCTCCTCCATCACAGCGGAGGAGTTTTTCGACTCTTTCGACACTTTTGGTAAGATTACTTCCGGAACAATCGCTTCATGTATATTTACTTCCGGTATGTTTACTTCCGGGATGCTCACTGCCGCTGTTTCCTTTCTCTTTAATTTTTCTTGTGGCTCAGGCATCTCAGGTATTGGTGAACGACGTTTGCTCCTTGAGCGAGGAAAATCTGTAATCCCATTCCTTAAAGGAATAATGGAAGTAGAATCACTCGAGATTGCCATCATGCGTTTGGAATGTCTGGATCTAGAGGAATGTTCCTCCTCGGATGTCGAGGGGCAGTCTCTATTTTTGAAGACAAATGTGATTTTCTCTTCTTTTCCGACCTCTCCTTGACTTTTTTGGCGATCCACTCTTGTATCTAGGTGTCGCGAAGGGAGATTCAAGAAATCTCCGCCCGTCTCGATGGATTCCATCTTTCTTAGTGAACTTGGCCCAACAATTTCCTGATGGTCATCACCGTGCCTGATCGTTCCGTTTTCCATGGTCTGTCCACCAAGAGAAGCAGGAGGAGTTGACTTTGAGATTGGTTTACCAATGACTACTTCTGTTTTGTTCGCCATTTTTAAGCCAGTGACACTTAGTAAAGTTTCAGCCGGTTGCCCTCTGAGGGACTTTGGACTGCCTTCTATCACGCCGGAAGAATTCAATTGATCTCGACTGCCTTGACCTCCAGTATTTTCTCCAATCTCTGACGGTTTCCACTGAATTCCGAGCTGCGCCACATCAGCTTGTAACAGTTGCTTTGCCTCACCAACAATGAGCTTTGCAGCCGCTCCTTCAGTGAGCCCTCTCCTCCCTGCGACCCAAATCACCCGTGCCTCGCTACGTTCACGTACCTCGGTCTCAGTCTCCTGACCTCGCTTGCGTCCGCTGACAAATGGCGCAGCGTTGTGCAAGATATTCTCGATTTCAGACGGAGGCCCTGCTGCAACGGAAGCCATGGTGTGGTAGCCAGCGTTGTACAGCATACGCGCACGCGCGGCATTTAAAAGCGATATTCGTACCAGGTCACAAAGCTCTCGCTCGACGCCAAAAGATAAACGGCTCTGGAACTGCGACAGAAGCATCTCTATGTTGGTCCAACCGAGCTTCTCGCAGAACACCGTCACCATTCCCGCGAACGTTGCAGAAGAACTTTGTAAAGATTGTAGCATTCCGCGGTTTGCTCCGTACCGCCTGGCAACTACATTAAGTGGTACTTCATGTACGAGATCTTGAAGAGCCAATGCCGCGTAAAATCGGCGATGCACGGCAAGGGATTGGCGCTGCTCCTCGGTGCGCGTTAGAACGCGGCCTCGCACAGCTCTGGCAAGAAAGCCTTCTTCTACTCCTACCAGGTCTGCCACACGGCGTATGTTTGCAGGCAGACGCTCAAAGATGCGCAGGTACTGGTACCAATCTATACTGGGCCATTGATCTTGTATGTAGATTGGTGTCACCTGTCGTGGGAGGGCAATCCAAAATGAACAAATATGAACAAATTATCGTAATCAATATTGATGCACCATTGTAAGATACAGTACATCTGATCATTATAACCTCTGTTATAGTGTGACTTGCGAGAATATGGAAGTGTAGATTACAGTGTAACAAATATATTCAAACATAAATTAAACTACAAATTGCAGATAATAAAAAAANTTCTTAAACGGGACAAAAGCGTTCCGCATACTCACAGAAAAGTTTGGAGCCACTCCTGTTGAATTCATCCCAGGCTTAACATTCATCATGCTCTGCCGCCTTCTTCTGCCTCGCTTTGAGGAAGACTTCTCGTCCCAGACTCCAGGAGGGGGACTCTCGGCGATAGTTGTTGGTAATGTGATATCAAAATCTTTGGGGACGTTTTGCAAGTTCGGCTCCGCGAATGATACTCGTCCAGTCGCTGTGTGCGTCTGGCTCATGGAGTGAATCCGTGGCATGTTGAGTCTCGGATTGAAACACTTTTCCTTCTGTAATGGAAACACCACCTTAGTTAGGGCCGAGTTGATCCGCCGCCACTCTATGATCAGCCCAGGAAGCGGATGCAGCGGCTTGAGCCTTTCAAGCACGTCTTTGTTGGTGCTGAGATGCTTCGTACCACGTGACGTTCCACGCCGAGTCACGCCTAGCGTCTTGCGCTTAGTAGCCAGGCCATCTTCCGAGTTGCCGTCGTGTGGCAGTTTGAGCTCTACAAAAAGTACCTACAAGGGAGGAGTGAGGGGAAGATTTTAATGAAATGAACGTAAGTCGCCACTTAAGAATTTATCAACCCTTCGTCAGAGCAAGTTTCATGAGTTAGAATTTACGAACGACAATAGGTGGAAATGGCCAATCAACTGCAAGCATGAAAAAATTAATCGGTTCATTGTAAGCACCTAAACAAATGCTTGTTGTAAAACATGTTTGTGTTACAGACACAGAAAGCTTCCAAAACTGATCGCACGGCCCGTATAACTTCCAGGCCGTTTTTAATCAAACGAAGAAATAAATGAGAACTAAGGTTTATTCACACCTGAGCCACATCTTCTCGACTGGTCAGTGAAAAACTGTGATTGGCCAGTCGGTATGCTTCCTCTTCCAGCCTGCGTAGCTTGGCCTGTAGGATATTCTTTAGATGTTCACTCTCTGTGTCTGAGAACCCTAAGCCATTTAACTCCATGCGACCCAAGCACAGCACAGATGGCATCTCCACCTACAACGGTTACAACAGGCGAAACCTATGATGCTCAACGTAACTTAAAACATTTTACGAAGCGCACGCCTCCTTCTCTCCCCTCCCGCCACTCATCCCACCCACACATGTCCTATCTTCAAGCGGCCAAAAGCCAGGAGTTTCGACGTCTGGTTGGTTCATTACATTATTTCGCTTAGTGCAATTGTCTTGAACGAGCGAGTGAACAGGATTGGACATAAACATTTGCCCTTGCCACTGGAGAGTAAGTTGTATTTAATAATGGAAAGCTTAAAATAAAACAAAACACACACAATTTTCTTTTAAAAACTCACAAAACAAACAAATAACCTCGGAATTAACGAAAATTCCTCACCGACCCGGAGAGTAAATTTTAAGGCGAGTCTGTGAACAAAGGTTTGACATGACAGGCGCTAGTGAATTTTAAGGTGCATGTATATTGGTAAAACCAACCTCATACAATAATTTTCTGACCTTAAGACTCTACACCATATTCAAAGTTCCAAAAAAACCTTTGTAACACGTAGTTTAAGTCTGGTTACAATCAGTTTGAGAGTTGATGTTTAGAGAAAGGGCAATGGTGCCAAATGCTAGTGCCAAAACCAGCAACCACTCTAACGGTTAAACTTCAAAAAGTTATATACAGGCTGAAAATAGCAAGAGAACAAGAAACCTTAGTAAACGCCAACATCAGATCCTCCGCCTCTAGTAAAGGACTCAGCTTTTTCATCAAAGAAAGAACTAAGACAGACTCGACACAGGCCCTCACTCGACCGCTCTGCTGACATTGGTATGCTAGAGCCAGACCTCCTGTACCCAGTCCACCACCGCTACCTGGGGGCAAGAGAGTACCATTATTAGCTGTTGTAGGTGTCTGGGCAAATGTCCCTTTTCATATTCTCACGTTTAAAAATAATTAAAGCAAAATGCATCGAGTAGAAGTGAACAACCCGTATCCTGAAAATTCCAAACGTAATGCTCAACTATTGCTGAACATGCCAATGACTTGTTTACTTGAAAGAAGAGTTCAAAACAAAGTGGCGGAAGGAGCGAGGTAGTCCTTTCTCGACGAAGGTCTCTGTTCACGTTTAACAAAACAGTGGGCCCTACACCTAATCACATGAGAACTAAATAGAGACGGTCATTGGCCTTGTAGCTACTTAGTAAAACCTCCATTCCATTTGGCGTTGTGATCTTCTATTCTGGCACGAAAAAAAATAAAATATTACTGTTGTTTGGACCTCAGCCTCAGCTGAGAGCCTCGCCATGGCGACGATGCCAAAGAGGACTGTTACTTTGCTACTACAGACAAAAACTTGTTCAAACGAACCTTCCAATAGAGGTGCCTCCTCAGGTAAGTGCGTTCCTACAAGCTGATGAAGGTTCTTTTCTTTTGCTCCTGGATCCAAGAGCCAACTAGCTACCTTGGGGTCCTCCGCAGGTCCACTGAGAGAGATCCCGGTAGATCTCGCAAAGGTCTGAAAGAAAAAGAAACCCTCAAAAAATAGATAACGAGGAAGATTGCGTGACGAGCCCAAAGAACGTCTGGGTAGGAGGCTAAACCTGGGGCTACGTTTGACGAAGTTCAAGATTAAAGCGTGTATTTGAAATCAAAGGAAATTGCGTCTCCTTACCTTGAAGTGTTCTTTGACATCAAAACAAACCATGAGTCGGCCTCGTTCTGTCAAGGACTGAATAACACTCTTCAGTGCATTTACACGACGAGCAAGGGTCAGATTACTATCAACCGCTGACTCAGCCTGACTGTCGTCCGGTTGACGGGGCGACGGCTGAGCATTCTCTTTGAGAGAAACGTAATAAGCGTCGTTATAGCTCCAGCTCACCGCAACTCCGACCACCATTAGATCCTCTCCTTCCACCTTCAAGCCCCTCGGGGTCCCTTCTGATGTTGGCGCATTACTGAATCGTCCTCCTATTCTGGGGACGTCATCAAGGAAGCGCTCACAAGCTACAGCTAACGAAAAGCGAGTTTGACTGCGCCATTCTTTAAGGAACATTGCAAAAACTTGCTCATGTCCTGCAACGTCGATGATTACAAGTCCTTCATCCGGGGCATTGGAATACGGTGACCTTCGAGGAGACGAGCGTTTTCTTGTCGACAAGGGAGTGGCTGACGTTTTTGTCTTAAAGTCACCCTGGGACGGCCGTTTCTCTCTCGGGGGTGTGGAAGGGACAATGTCTGAATCTGGCATTTCATTTTCTTTAATTTCATCACCATGTGTCGGTGAACTGCGTGGTATTTTCTTGTTGGGCGATTTCTCATCTTTGTGGCTGGGTAAATAAGTGGATTTCAAGCTCTTGATTTTAATAAAATCAGATTCACTGTGACGTACCACAGGCGCGCGAGGTAATGCTTCGGTCTCTGTTTCTTTTTGCAGGCTTTTGGCATCAGCTTCTTTCTCCATTAACTCAACAACGGCCAACATGGACAGATCAGAGTCGAGGCAACCATCGCTGGACGAAAGACGAAGCGAAAATGAATTCGCAGTGCTTACGGAGGCTAAGTCATCTGCCACGGAGCATTTCCGCGACTGAAGAACAGGAGAAGCGAATGACGACAGAATTTCCAAGCTGTGGTTCGTATGAAATTCATCTGTGGCTGGAGGGCGTGGATGAGTGTCATATTCACCGATTATCTCCTGACTTTCAAGCGTAACCAAACTACCAGGTTGTACTGTGTTTACTTTATCGGGCAGAATTTCGCAGTCCTTGCCAGGTGGCTCATTTGTCTCGGCCACGGCACGCGAGTGCGTCGTTAACTTATCGGCTTTCTCTTCAGCTATAACGTCACACTTCATAAGACAGGTGTCACTCAAGCTACATGCAGCAAGTGCCTGAGAATCGAGCAGGACATTGCCCTCACCATGAGTGGAATTATCGGTTTTTTCTTTCACGGCAGGTTCTTCACCTTCAAACGGCTCAGAGTACAACTCCAGAGAAACCGACTGAGTTTCGTTGCAAAATTTAGAATCAGCTGAGACCTCCTCCATCACAGCGGAGGAGTTTTTCGACTCTTTCGACACTTTTGGTAAGATTACTTCCGGAACAATCGCTTCATGTATATTTACTTCCGGTATGTTTACTTCCGGGATGCTCACTGCCGCTGTTTCCTTTCTCTTTAATTTTTCTTGTGGCTCAGGCATCTCAGGTATTGGTGAACGACGTTTGCTCCTTGAGCGAGGAAAATCTGTAATCCCATTCCTTAAAGGAATAATGGAAGTAGAATCACTCGAGATTGCCATCATGCGTTTGGAATGTCTGGATCTAGAGGAATGTTCCTCCTCGGATGTCGAGGGGCAGTCTCTATTTTTGAAGACAAATGTGATTTTCTCTTCTTTTCCGACCTCTCCTTGACTTTTTTGGCGATCCACTCTTGTATCTAGGTGTCGCGAAGGGAGATTCAAGAAATCTCCGCCCGTCTCGATGGATTCCATCTTTCTTAGTGAACTTGGCCCAACAATTTCCTGATGGTCATCACCGTGCCTGATCGTTCCGTTTTCCATGGTCTGTCCACCAAGAGAAGCAGGAGGAGTTGACTTTGAGATTGGTTTACCAATGACTACTTCTGTTTTGTTCGCCATTTTTAAGCCAGTGACACTTAGTAAAGTTTCAGCCGGTTGCCCTCTGAGGGACTTTGGACTGCCTTCTATCACGCCGGAAGAATTCAATTGATCTCGACTGCCTTGACCTCCAGTATTTTCTCCAATCTCTGACGGTTTCCACTGAATTCCGAGCTGCGCCACATCAGCTTGTAACAGTTGCTTTGCCTCACCAACAATGAGCTTTGCAGCCGCTCCTTCAGTGAGCCCTCTCCTCCCTGCGACCCAAATCACCCGTGCCTCGCTACGTTCACGTACCTCGGTCTCAGTCTCCTGACCTCGCTTGCGTCCGCTGACAAATGGCGCAGCGTTGTGCAAGATATTCTCGATTTCAGACGGAGGCCCTGCTGCAACGGAAGCGATGGTGTGGTAGCCAGCGTTGTACAGCATACGCGCACGCGCGGCATTTAAAAGCGATATTCGTACCAGGTCACAAAGCTCTCGCTCGACGCCAAAAGATAAACGGCTCTGGAACTGCGACAGAAGCATCTCTATGTTGGTCCAACCGAGCTTCTCGCAGAACACGGTCACCATTCCCGCGAACGTTGCAGAAGAACTTTGTAAAGATTGTAGCATTCCGCGGTTTGCTCCGTACCGCCTGGCAACTACATTAAGTGGTACTTCATGTACGAGATCTTGAAGAGCCAATGCCGCGTAAAATCGGCGATGCACGGCAAGGGATTGGCGCTGCTCCTCGGTGCGCGTTAGAACGCGGCCTCGCACAGCTCTGGCAAGAAAGCCTTCTTCTACTCCTACCAGGTCTGCCACACGGCGTATGTTTGCAGGCAGACGCTCAAAGATGCGCAGGTACTGGTACCAATCTATACTGGGCCATTGATCTTGTATGTAGATTGGTGTCACCTGTCGTGGGAGGGCAATCCAAAATGAACAAATATGAACAAATTATCGTAATCAATATTGATGCACCATTGTAAGATACAGTACATCTGATCATTATAACCTCTGTTATAGTGTGACTTGCGAGAATATGGAAGTGTAGATTACAGTGTAACAAATATATTCAAACATAAATTAAACTACAAATTGCAGATAATAAAAAAAATAAACGAAAGACACCTTCGCAGCTATACAACAACTTCTTCCAACGCTCTGCCACAGAGCTATATACTCAAGACTGGCACCTGGTCAATTATGAGTTCTAAGATTCATCGAATCTTAGAACTCGTAAGTAATTCTAATTCATCGAATTAGAACTGTTATTCACTGACCTGGTATATAATGTGCAGTTCACTTTCGAGCACGAAGCACTTGCGCGCTTTCTGGACCTCAGCAAACACAACCAGAGCTTCACCGGGAGAAAGAGCGGATGATAATGTGGCCAAACCAAGCTGAGTGGGTACGTATCTCTGATAATCTGCTTTTGCCTGAAATGAAGGCGCAAAAGTACAATTGACCGATCAGCTGAAAGGAAAAGGAGGTAACCGATGGAAAGTTGGAAACTTCCCAAAGTTTAGCTTTCAAAATTTTTTGCAAGTTATGTAGCAGTTACTTCAATTAAGGATTATCCTCTTTAATCTTACCTCCTCCGTTTCATCGTTGTTTTCTTCCGTCTTCGTATCATCGCATCTTTGTAAACGAACAAACTCGTTTTCCACCAGAAATTTCACGGTTTTCTTGATGACGGCATCCGTGTCATTTACGTCTTGCCGCGCGGGGACTGAGGCGAAGAATGTGCAGGCCGAGTAACGCTCTACATCCTGAGGCCTGGTGACCACTCCGCTGGCGATGACCTCAAGGAGTGCACGCTTGATTCCACCATTGTCTTCCTTACCTGAGATTAAAGATAAAAAACAAACAAAAAAGAAAACGAGGAAGCCAGTTCTGAGGTGAATTCAAGCAAGTGTTTGGGCAATTCGAGAGGTTAGGCATGGCAATTTTCAGGCAGCTATTGATTAAGCTCAAAGGCGATATCTGCAGCGTTTGGAGCAGGCTTAGCTACAGAAAACGCCGCGCAACTAATGACAAAGAGAGATAGACCATTTTTTCTAAATACTGATGCTTCAGTTGATAGATCGTCATAAAGCACATTAATCGCAATTACAGCTGGATGAAGCTTTACGTTATTGTAAATTTTCCCAGTTGTACAAAAAAATAGTATGGTTTTGGGGTGTTCAAAAAGATCGTCGACATTTCAAAAGGTTCATTCTAAAAGAAATGCCATCGGCGAGAAATCAACAGTTGTAAGTGGAAAGGCAATAAAGCTCAAAAGTAAAATGGCATTTTTACCCAGCAAACAACTTTGCACGGCTTTCAGTCGAGAATTCAACAGCGAAGCCGCCTTTTGTCGTTCAGCGGGTTTACACATCAGTACACTCTCGCCCAGGGCATCGACTCCTTTGCGGCCTGCGCGGCCAGCCATCTGTTTGTAGATCAGAGCATCCACTAGCTTGCCATGAAACATTGGCGTGCGAATAATAACACGACGAGCGGGAAGATTTACTCCTGCAAAGGATGAAAGAAAAACCCCTCAGACTTTCAAGTGGCGGGGAGTTAGGTCTCGTCCATTGCCAGGGAAATTTGAAGACGACGTTTTCACTCAGAAAACGCATCATCAAATATTTTCCGTCCACACTTCGCCGGAGGAACAATCACCAGCCATTTTGGATTTGTGTTTTCGTGATGGCGGATTAGTGTGGACAGTAGGCCAAACCGTAAAAATAAAGCTGCGTTTTGAAATTTCTCTGGCGTAGTGTGGACAGGGCCTTTGTTCATGTAACCTGGTATAAATAATGCCAAAGTACAGTTCACAACATGAAAGCAGGTTTTACAGTTCAGCAGCATTCACCTGAATGGACAGCAAAAGTCAACAGCTCTCTGTATACTTCTATTATTATTTTAGTAAAAATCTACTAGCGTTCTAGCACGAATGCCGTTCTCTGATTGGCTACGCTACTCACTATCTATCCTGTGATAGATAGTGAGCAGCGTAGCAGTGCGTCCTTGTTAACAAAATGACGGATTTTGAGGATTTTGACAAAGTTTTGAACAACTAATAGATTTATACTAAAACAATTAGATTATGCGCTGTCAATTTCTATGCGTGATAGTTGCCTCGGGCTGCACCCTCGTCAACTATCACGCGATAGAAATCTCGAGCTCATAATCTAATCGCTTAATTTTAACAGCATCAAATGGAATTAACCTGTTCAATAGCTTTCATTTGAATGGCAAAACACTAAGGTTTAAATCTACAGACTTAAAACTTTGTACCACGAGACAGCATGATAATCAGTACCACATCATGAGAGTTGTATTCAATAGCTTTCGTTTGAATGGCTACACATTAACTAAAGTTTTTATCTACATATTTACAACTTTGTACCACCCTCTATGGGACAATATGATAAACAGTACCACAAGAAAGAAAATACAAAATGTAAGGACCTTAAACCCAAAAGAACGTTTACACCTCCTGACAAGTGCTTTTACGTCCAATACAAAACTCTGAGAGGTAACCCCACCTGAAGACAGTGTAGAGGTCGCCACAAGTACGCGAATGGACCCCTGCCTAAAGGCTCCTTCTATAATGTCCCTCTCATCAAAAGTGAGCCCTGCGTGATGAAATGCCACTCCATGTGGAACCATACGTGCCAGCATCGAGTCCAATCCTACTTGGGTGCGTTTTAACTGTTCTATGACCTCCCTCAATGCGGCGTAATCAAACGTGACGAGCGCAGATGCCTTCACAAACCCACCACCCTGAACATTGTTGTCGGTCCCCTCCTGAAAAGCCAAGTTTCCGATTTCTGCAAAATGCTTGGCGATGGTCTCGGCTAGTTTTTCACACCAGTTTTTTGTTGGACAGAAGATTAACACCGAGTGCCCGTCAACAATGGTTTCCTTACACAGGGGTATCACGTGATCTTCGTCCCCTTTAACGGTTCCAGCACTGATTTCTCGAATCTTCTCCATGTTAGCGTCATAGAGTGCCGATCCTACTTTGACCATTTCCTTCAGTGGGACTGGCCTGTGGTCCGTGAAGTACAAGTCAGCGGACAACCACTTGGCGAGCATGTCCAGGTTGGGTAAGGTCGCGCTCATGCCGACTATTTGTATCGCTGGCGTCGTTTCTTCGCTTGCTGTAAAGTCGAACGTGAAAGTATATGTTATTGTGAAAGTGTGAAAGTGGATTTTTCAGTTTTTTAGACCGGCTAGGCTTAGAATAGAGCATCAAAATAACAACTACGATTATCTTGAAGTACATTAAAAACCCGCGTATAAGAACCTAGGTTTTTTTCAAGTTAGCCTCCATAGGTTCTTATATAAATGGTGTTTACTGTGAAATTAGGCTACCTAGGTTCTTAATCAGGTTCTTAATTTTTGTTTAAAAGATCACCTTGTACTCATGGCTGTGGTCTGTATATTGAATCATTCACAGTACAGTAATGTGGCCTTATAACACTGCCAGTGTTCTGGCTAGTGTTTGTTGTCTTTTTTTGTGTCGCATGTGACGTACTGTATTATAATTATTTGAAAACTCTATATTTGGAAAATAATAACCTGTATTGAGATTTTAACCTAGGATGGTTCTTACGTGACGGGTGCTTAACAGGGAAAGTTCTTATACGCGCGTTTTTATTGTATAGGCGAGTGCAACTATAATAATTTATGCGTCGAATTGTTCTCGCATTTTGATTGGTTCTTACTTATGATCTACTAGAGGACAGACGCATAGATGACACCTTAACAGATGTCAACAACTACCGGCGCCTCACAAACGACTTATCCGTGACGGAAACGAAACCGACAAACGGACTTCTAACAGACCGACTTAATTTTACTAACAATAGATGGACCCAAAACCGACCAATTTGACTAACAATAGACGGATCGAAACCCACCAATGACTGATGACAAACTTTTCACGAGCCTTTATTTCAGCCAATACCATCATGGCTAAACTGACCAATCACGTTCAACGGACCAGACTTATAACATCATATTTTGCATTTTATTGTAATCAGGCCTCATTTACATTTTTATCTTCTAGCTTTTTTCACGCTTGTTTTTATTCTCAATTTTTCGCACCACATTCGTATATATTTTCGCTTGCGCACCACATTTTTCATTCGTTAAAGGCTATAGACTGATAGCCGAAAGCTTATGTTTTTAATATATTTTTAACCAGAGAACATTTTTATTCCAATATATATAATTTGTTTGTTTTCTGTTTTTGGACAAGTGGATTTCATGTTTGGATGCCCAAAATCTGGAAAAAAGTACCCGTCTGATAGACAAGTGAAATGAAAATGTTTTTTGCCCTGATTCACTCAATTTTACATCGATGAGCTGAATTCATTACAGTGACACTACACAGTTTCTAACTGTATCGTGAACCTCATTAGCATTTTAAATACTCTCTCTCACAAGCATAAGTTTTGAACCTGTTAAAACAGGTATTTTTTAATTTCCTCTTCCCTGACTGTGGACTGCAGTTGTTCAAATGATTGAGTGGGGCAAGCAGAGGTTCCCTCTTGTCACTGTCTGAGCAGTAAGAGAAGGGAATCTCAGTATCACAGGGCATATGAACTTATTCATCACACTAACCACAATCTGCTTTTGTGAACCATGGGACAACAGAGACTCTTCATCACTCTAAATTGAACAGTAGCACAGTTAACATGAGTGATTCAATACTAAACGACATGCAGGGAGCTAGACTAGCAAAAAATACAGGTATTGGTATACAAGACACAACCTTTTGAAGTGAATCATTTTATAAGTGGCCTCCAAATAGCAAATGGCAGATGATCAAAACATAGCCACTGCTGAAGTGTCAACCCTCAACAACTAATGAAGGAGGGGGGGGGG